CATGTCAACAACATGTAACAGATAATACTGTTTACTACATGTCAACAACATGTTTAAACAGTATTATCTGTTTACATGTCAACAACATGTAACAGATAATACTGTATAACAGAATTAGATTATGTTTTCCACCTTGTAATTGTCATCACTTATTTTACATGATGTTATTATCATGTACAAGTTACTGTATGTGAAGTACTTACAATTATAAAACTGGTATACAGTGAAGACAGCATTTAGGACAAAATAAAAATTACTGGACAAATTACACTATCTTTATACTTCAATTTTAACCATGGTCAATTGAACCATATTGGCTCCCCAGTGGTACAGCGGTATGTCTTCGGACTTACAATGCTAGAATCCAGGTTTCGATACCTGTGGTGGGCAGAGCACAGATAGCCCATTGTGTAGCTTTGTGCTTAATTACAATCAAACGACCAAACAAATGAACCATATTGTATTTCATCAAACACCAAAACTGGTTTGACTAACTTGAAATACACCCCATTTGGATGCACTGATTCAAAACTGCAACCTCGTAAGGTTAAGTCTCACCACATCATCAGGTATTGTTACAGGATGTTTTTATCATGCAGAGTTGAATGTACAGTAATGAAATTACTTTCACACACATTCATATGTGAATATAAAGTCCATCCTTATACTTTGGTTTGCTACTGTAGTAATGTAAGAACAAAGAATAAGTTTGACAAAAAATCTCTTGAGTGTTATTTCAACATTTGAAACTCTCTAGTTTTCTTTCTGTTGTGTAACGACATGGTGATTTACCCTAGCTAGCACCGTATTCACGAAACTGTTAGCCCTCTAAACTATATCCAGTAATAGATACACTTACATCACTATTTATATTCATGCTACATAAACTGTTTGTGTCATTTTCAATGTTGAACCCAATAACACTTCATGAGGCTTGCATTGCATAGTAGATATAGTGGAGGCCTATATCATGTCATAGAAACAAAACTGAATGAATTTTATAATATAAATGGACATAAAACAGTTATTATTATAGGTTTCATATGATCACTTTCAATACATATACACAGTTATTATTATAGGTTTCATATGATCACTTTCAATACATATACACAGTTATTATTATAGGTTTCATATGATCACTTTCAATACATATACACAACTGTATCTTGGATATAAAGAAGGTTATAGACACATTTGTTAAGGGAAGTTTAAAGGTGTAATTATAAAAAAGTGAATTTGTTCAGATATTATTACTGATGGAACATAGAACACTAGGATCAATAGTCAGTTTAAAATACTGTGATATGTTTTTACTTCTTAGAGATGGAAATGCTCACGGTAGACTGTATCCCTACCAACATTTCGTTGTGGTCTTTTTCTTTAAAATTTAGTCATATATTTATTAGATCCCTTAAGGCAATTATTTTCCAAGATATTTAATTAAGTATTTCTGATGTTAGAATCAGTGTTGTCATTTAAAAGTGAGTGTACTTAAGTTATGATAATAAACAATGAATGAAACTACACGGCACCCACATAACTTAGTAATTCTATAATTGTTATATAAGATAATCAGTTGAATATTTTTAAATTTACAGCTTGTGTTGATTTATTGAGCAAATGAAATAAAGTTTGTAAAAATGTTAAGTGTATGATTTAGTATTGAAAGTAGAGACTGACCATATCAATGTATATATAACTATAAACACAGTGCGTGTACAGACTGACCCTATCAGTATATATACACACACACACATATATTTACTTAGAAAATTTAATGATATAGTTATATTTGTTAAAGAGTTTCCAAAGTTAAATAAATTCTGTAGTGAACACCTGAAATGTCAAGTTAATAGTTAACTACTAGTATATTAAATTAAAAAACTTAGTTTTTTTTATTGAAACTAGTTTCAAACATTCTACATTCTTATTTTTATTAATTAAATTACAATTAATTTGTTTATTCAAAATCTTATTAAAAAGTGTCCGTAAGGGAATCTGATCTGAGTGATTTAACTTCCACTCACAGGTTAATTTTAGAGAGATATTACATATACTTGCTGATTACAAATAAAATATTTCAGAAATAAGGTTAGAAAAGAAACAATCCTTACTCTCCAGATACTTGAAAAAAAAAAACTTTTTATTTCAGCTAATGTTTTTGTAATGCAATTGTAGCTCCGTCACGGCCAGTAGTACAACTGATGAAGTTGAAATAATGTTGTTTTTTTATTATTATTATTATTATTATCTGGAGATTAAAAATAGTTTTTTTCTAACTTTAGTACCAAAATGTCTAAATCCCTCCGGAATGTACTATAAATTCTGAAAAAGGACAAATAAAATACTACAACAGTTTAGTTCTGCTTGTGAAAGATTTTTATGTATCAAAACAATATATGATAGTGAGAGAAACTGCATCAAATGAAGACATCATGCTAAATTTTGTTGTTTGTACTAATAACTCTTACTTTTAACAAACTTCCTTTTAAACACAACTACCAGTACGTTGAAGAAATCTCCAGTGGATAACCTTTTGAAAAATATATAATAAATTTCTAAAAATGTCAGTCATCAAGGAAAGTTAATATCTATCAATCAAATGAAAGTTTCTAGTGGAAAACTATAATTAATCAAAAGAAATTTACTGAAATTACACAAAACTAATGAAAGCTTGTCATAACATAAGTCGAAAATTGCAAGAAAGTTTACCGTCATGTTACTAAATGCATTTGAAGTTTACAGAAACGTTATGAATCAAAGGACAAACTGTATGATATCAAAATTTAATGACTATTATAAAAGTCAAATATCCAAAATCTTAAGTGAAATATCTACCAACCCAGTAATAGTGTTTCCTTGTGATATAATCTAAGACAGAAAGTTTCTAGTGCCATTCATATTTTATTTCTCTCCCTAATGTTTTTCTTTCATACATATTTTAAATGATCAGTGCTAACAGCAATGGATAGTAAACTTGAAAACCGTAACACACCATTAAGATTCTTTTAATCCACCAGAAGTTGTTCTTCGGGTATTGGTTCAGTCATAGTACCAGTTGTGGTTACCTTTTCACTCGGTGGTTCCACTAGTCTCTCAACCTGGTTCTCAGTTTCAGTACTAGGTAATGTAGAAGTGTCTGAGAGAGGAGCGTCATCCATGACAGTCTGGAGAAAAGGCTTGTCCTTTGAGAGCCAAGACAACTCTGTGCGATAAGGATCCAGCCTGGGATGAGAGTGAGTTTTTAAACACTGGTTTTCTATTTCCAATGTTCTCTCTTTCAGCTCAATATCTCTTTCAACTTGATGTAATTGATACTGAAGAGTATTCAGAGAAGACCTGAAATGGATAAAACACTTTGAAAATATGACCAACTTTGCCAATTTTTAAGTATAATTGAAATAATTTATTAAAGTTATCAAAATGTATTAAAAACAAACCACTCTCTATAAGCCAGCTAATTATCATTAAACAAACCACAGGAAAATAAGATAATTTTTATTTAAACATGGATGATGTCTCAGTTTGAAAATATAAGGACATCAAGTAGCTTTCAGACGGCCATGAAATTATGCCCTGGTGGTAGAAAGCTAAAATGGTTACCCTAGAGGGACAGGTTACTTATTAATATGTCTAGTTTTACCATCTCTACCGAGTTTTAGAAACATCTTTTAATATTTATATATTTTTAACCTTAAGTGCAATAGTCACAATTCCTGAGCACAATACACACACAAATAAATCAAACAATAATGCAAGAATACTAGCCTCCTTGAAACCCTAGAACTGTTTTTTTATTTCCTAAATTTACTTGTTTGTTTAGTTCATAATATGCTTTTCCAATAGTTATCACAGTTTTTTTCAGGGTCCTCCAAAAGTTGTGACTATTTTCTCCAATTTATCTCCTTGTTTAATTTTTGACGAGGCTTTTCCAAAAGCTTTGACTGGTTTTTTATTCTCTTTTGACACTATTAAATTATTGGTTAGTTTTAAATAGGCTTCTCCTAAAGTTGACTCTTTTAATTTTCTCTCCATTTAATTTTATGTTTAGATTTTGACTAGGCTTCTTCAAAAGATATATATATCTGTTTTTGTTTTTTCACCTATTAAATTTTTTTATTCAGATTTGTTTGCTAATTTTTAATTTGTCTGTGGTTTCACTTCATGCCTTTGTTTCACTAACTTACTTCACAAGAGCTTTCTTGTTTATTTTTCTTGTAGAAGCTAAACTCACTGGTAAATATTTTTTTTTGTTTTTAATGTGTCTCTTTAGCTGTAAAATGTATTTATCTTTCAACTTGTTCTTGAACTTTTTTTAAAGCTATAAACACTATTATTTTAACATCTCTAGTCTTTATACTAAACTAGCAAATAGTTTGACCAACAAAGAGGTAGAAAAGTGCCATTGAGGCAGCCAAACATCGGTAAATTACTTTGTGAGCCAATCACAATTAAGATCATTCATGAAATGAATTTGTGGTGTATTCATAGAATAATTATTGGTAAAAATCAGTTAGATTAACAACTTCTAATATATAGAAAAGCCAGTGTGTTTTGGTAACACTATGTTCCAACAATGGCCTTAATGTCATGTTGCTTAGAAACAAAGTATAACCTAATATTGTTGTTAGTCTATGTACTTAAAGTATAAAATAAAATGTATAGACAACAAAACTGGAAAAATATTTGTTGATTTCATAATTTTACTTAAAAATGTTGGTGATATAACAGAAAATAGCTCAATTCAGAAATGATTTAAGTTTAAAATTGAATCGATATT